CAACCTCTGAAAATAGAGTTTTTCGCACAGTAGTGTGAGAAACAGTTCTTCACACGCTGCTTATTAGTTTTTTATTTATTATGGTTAATAAAAATTACATATTTGGTTGTTTTATTTTGCATTTGTAGGAAAAACATTGTGAAAAACTCGTTTGAAAACTTTTTTTCACACTCGCTCGACTTGTGGAATTCGCCTAAGTACGGCTCGGTCCAACAAACTGTCTAAGCCGTGTGAAAAAAGTCGTTTTCAAAACTTGATTCAGTAACTATAGAAGTGAGTGGTATTTTATTTTCAATTATGGATGATTTTCCGTTGCTTATTGCAGCATTAGAAGGGAAAAATTAAAGGTGAGGAAGCTCTTTATTCCTGGTGAGTGGTATGAGCTATCAAAAAATCGTCTAAGAAAATCAAGAAGCAGAGTGCCTTGGATAACTATGATCGTATTATACTTTTTAGACTTGAACACAATCAGAAAAAGAATAACCTTTGGGAGACAAGCAATAACCCTTTGGATTTGCCAGAAAATAATTTTAAAAACATCAGCAGGTTTTGAAAAAATACTGCAAGGTATCTCTATCTAATCTAATTGAGGAAATTGGGCAATTTCTTCCAGATGCAGAACGTCCGCATTGCATCTTGCATCCCAAAGTCTGTGATTATTTTTTTAAGTGCATTGCATTTTTATTGTATTTTTGACGTGCGTTTTTCCTCCATTATAAAAGTGGGTATGAATATGACTAAAGGTTTGTTAGTTTGTGTCACTCTAACTAGTCTAACTTGAACTAAGCTGTAATATTTCTGTATGGCATATAAACCATATAAAACGCTCACAAACAAACGCCCCAAAGCATGAAGGCCGCCCTGAACAACAGAAACAAACAAACCTAAAGAGTCACAAAGAATACCCATGAGAATTGACAAATAAATTCAAATAACTGACGAAGAAATGATAGATATTAAATTCCAATCCAAGTCAGCTAAATCAGGCACTAAAATAAATAAATAAACTCATAAACAACAAAATGAATAGAAAAGTGGGGTTACATTTTTAAGGTTTTTGGCAATTTTACAATGTTGCCGCCTTAACTTATTCAATTAAAGAACAGTTTTCCAATTTCCAACAATCCCGTTTTCAAGGGGTACATGTGAATAAGAAATTTCTTCAATATTGAAATGTCTCAATATCCAATATTGGAAAATTTCAATAATTAAGTGGACACGTGAATAAGGCTGATTGCCTTGGTTATTGGAAAACTGTAAAAATATGGTGGATTGTTATTCAGGTGCTGCTTAGTTGTTGAATTGAATATTGGTTATTGAACGTCATATTGGTTATTGAAATTAACATCGAATATCTTATTCAGGTGTACTATATTTTCCAATAACAGTTTTCAGTGTTTCATATTTTGTAAGCAGGTGGTTCGGGCACCGGCTTGGCAAATTGGATATTGGAAAACTATTGGGTTTTGTGTTATGTTTAGAATTTTTCCTACAACTGCCTTTGAAAATGGAGTTTTTCACACGCTAGGCAACCTCTGAAAATAGAGTTTTTCGCACAGTAGTGTGAGAAACAGTTCTTCACACGCTGCTTATTAGTTTTTTATTTATTATGGTTAATAAAAATTACATATTTGGTTGTTTTATTTTGCATTTGTAGGAAAAACATTGTGAAAAACTCGTTTGAAAACTTTTTTTCACACTCGCTCGACTTGTGGAATTCGCCTAAGTACGGCTCGGTCCAACAAACTGTCTAAGCCGTGTGAAAAAAGTCGTTTTCAAAACTTGATTCAGTAACTATAGAAGTGAGTGGTATTTAATTTTCAATTATGGATGATTTTCCGTTGCTTATTGCAGCATTAGAAGGGAAAAATTAAAGGTGAGGAAGCTCTTTATTCCTGGTGAGTGGTATGAGCTATCAAAAAATCGTCTAAGAAAATCAAGAAGCAGAGTGCCTTGGATAACTATGATCGTATAATACTTTTTAGACTTGAACACAATCAGAAAAAGAATAACCTTTGGGAGACAAGCAATAACCCTTTGGATTTGCCAGAAAATAATTTTAAAAACATCAGCAGGTTTTGAAAAAATACTGCAAGGTATCTCTATCTAATCTAATTGAGGAAATTGGGCAATTTCTTCCAGATGCAGAACGTCCGCATTGCATCTTGCATCCCAAAGTCTGTGATTATTTTTTTAAGTGCATTGCATTTTTATTGTATTTTTGACGTGCGTTTTTCCTCCATTATAAAAGTGGGTATGAATATGACAAAAGGTTTGTTAGTTTGTGTCACTCTAACTAGTCTAACTTGAACTAAGCTGTAATATTTCTGTATGGCATATAAACCATATAAAACGCTCACAAACAAACGCCCCAAAGCATGAAGGCCGCCCTGAACAACAGAAACAAACAAACCTAAAGAGTCACAAAGAATACCCATGAGAATTGACAAATAAATTCAAATAACTGACGAAGAAATGATAGATATTAAATTCCAATCCAAGTCAGCTAAATCAGGCACTAAAATAAATAAATAAACTCATAAACAACAAAATGAATAGAAAAGTGGGGTTACATTTTTAAGGTTTTTGGCAATTTTACAGTGTTGCCGCCTTAACTTATTCAATTAAAGAACAGTGTTCCAATTTCCAACAATCCCGTTTTCAAGGGGTACACGTGAATAAGAAATCTCTTCAATATTGAAATGTCTCAATATCCAATATTGGAAAATTTCAATAAACAAGTGGACACGTGAATAAGGCTGATTTTTAATAATTGTATACCCGTTATAAATTAGAAGTCATTCAGTAAATTTGTCAGAAAGTTGTCAACCGAATTTTATTTCCTCGTCTTAAATATTGTAATTTACAATTATTAAAAATAACACCTTAAAAACTAAAAAGGTAATAATGTAGTCTACTACACATGTAATTCAGAAAGTTAACTTCAAATTAACTGTCAAAGCAGTTTTATAATACCCGCCCTAGGACCAAGTATGCATAAAGTCAAATCCAGCGAAATCATAGACTGGTACAAGCACCCTACGTCCAAGAACGCCTACGTCAAGGCGAGAAACGACACGCTGCCTGCGTCCTCACTCTCACTGGTACCTACTTTGGCGTGTGGGCGGTTCGTGTTTTGAGAATTTGAGATTTGCAGTCGTATGAATAAAGTGTAGCAAAAGCTTTTACTCTAACTCCGTGTCTTTTTTGCTGCATTAAAGCTGAATATGTTCTATGTTATGTTTTATGTTATCTCAAAAAAGTTAAGCAAAGACATTTGCTTCTATTTTTATTCACATGAACCATGAGCAATATGAGGTATACCTACACAGGATAGCTTATTATCCTCATAAGACATGTGTAATTCAAATCTCAAGCCCCCTACCATGCCAAAGCACCAGTGATGACATGGCAGCATGTCGTTTCTCGCCTTGACGTAGGGTGTTTGCAGCACGTAATAGTTGTATTCCTTTCAAGAGCTTAAAACGCTCCGGTGTTAGTCGACCCCGATTTGAAAGGAACAGATGCGCTGGCTTTCGTGCATTTTATAGTTATTTATGTATCAAGGGAATTATGAAGGTGTTAATACCCCAGGGCAAAGTTTGTGTACCGAGGGCCTTCGGCCCGAGGGACACCAATTGCCCGTGGGTATTAACATCTGATAATTCCCGTGGTACATAGATAATTTTATTTCCTACTGAATTTACTGTAGGTATTTTGTCCATTTTTATAAAGAAATAAACCATAAACCAAAATTTCTATTTTTTGTCAAAGTTTCACCTATACAAGGTAAAAGCGGGAGTTATGAAATCCTCAACTCCCTTGGGAGTTAAGACCCTGTTTATGATTATCGTAATCAAGGTATTATATAGTTATATTAGTTCAGTAGGAAATAAAATGGTTTAAGGGCGGGTATTATAAAACTACTTTGAGAGTTAACTTAAAGTTAACTTCTGGAATTACATGTAATTCAAAAAGTTAACTTTAAGTTAAACTGTCAGAGCAGTTTTATAATACCCACCCATTCGGGCTTGGGCGCTTCAGGTGCACCAAACACTTTTCGAAAGGAATAAGCACGTAAACCCCTGAGCTGTTCCGGAGCTCCTCCTAGGTGTGAAAGGAATACAACTAATGTTTCCGCGGGCTTTTGCTTTATGCATACGCATACTTGATCTTTTACATTAAATAACATTCCTAAACAGATCTCGTTTGCATCTTCCTGTTTGCCTGTCATGTTAATTAAAATTAAATAATATTTTTCATCATAAATTTAAATTGCAAACTAGCTGACGAGTGACGACTCAATTAATGACGTCGGCAATGGTACTACACCAATATGGCCGCGATTACTAAATCAAAAACGAGGCCGATAAGTAATTCTTAAGTGGAGTGTATTACTATTAGCCTTGGACTTCACCGAGGAAGCCCGATCACCTTTCCGAGAGGATGCCGTTCAGAGACGTTGAGCAAACGTCATTTTTTCCATCTAATTTTAGCCGTGTTCGGCATTCGGCAGGTCATAGTAGGGCCCTGGTGGAAACGTCAAACATCCGTCAAGACGTGAAACGACACGCTGGCTACGTCATCACTGGTGCTTTGGCATTCTGGGGGTGATAGGGGGGCTTGAGATTTGAACTACACAGGCCTTATGAGGCTAGGCTATCGTAGTAGAAGCATGTATTATCCTTGTCATGTGTCAGCCAATTTTAATATTTTTTTAGATAATTGGTTCAGCAAAAGGCCTAGAGACAAATCAAAAACATTCCAAATTTAGGTGATCCTAATAGGCAAGCCTTACCTATCCTATCCCTATGTGAAAGCTGGTGGAAATGGGCATGAATTATTCATTATACCTGTTGGTTCGAAATTTGGAACTGGGTTTGTTTGTTTGTGTGGCACTTACTTGAACTAAGCTGTAATATTTCAGATTATGGCAGATGAACCCGTATAAAACGCTCACAAACGAACGCCCCAAAGCAGGAAGAGCTGCTCCGAACAACACAAAGAAACAATCCTATTTGTTCTGGGATGGCGCAGAACTTCTTGCGCATAATAAAACGAATTAGAACTAGAGCAGTCGTTGATCGGATCATATATTCCGTCGTTTCCGAAAACCCCTCAATCAATCATGTGTCAATGTGACATATTAGTGCCATCTGTCATCTTTTCTTGGTTGGGTATTTTTTCTTGTAGGTAGATAAGAGAAAAAATGTAAGTTGCCTTTAGCAGAAATATTGAAAAGTATTAAAATTTAAAAATATTTTAGTATAAATAATGTCTGGAGACCACGCAGACCCGCCAGAGGCAGCAAAACTAACCGGACTTGCCAAGCATTTTAACAGCATCACTCTCCGAGGACGTGCTAATGTAAGTAAGATCTTTTTCCTGTTGCATAATCATTTTGTTATGTCCTTATAATTTAAATTTCGGATTTTTATAATAATTGTTTAAGGTCGCGATGGCCACATACGCTGTTGGAGCACTCATCGGAATCTACCTTTACGTTAAACCATCCAAGAAGAAGTAAAACTTTTTTAGTGCTGTGTTATCCTTAGAAAATGTTAGGTTTAGGCTTAAATATATCAATGAAGAAAATTGTTCCAAAAATAAAATTATAATATCCTAAACTTAAGACATAAGTCTTTATTTGTTCCTATTATAAGACATACCTAAGGGACATACCAAATAACCATTGGTGAATGGTGATGTGATTGCATAACACCACAACTATATAGGCCTAGATAACAGAAACTTTTGATTTCATGGAGCTTGCAACCACTGTTGAAATTATAATTAGCTTCATTAATTGTGGAAAATAAAGACTCTTTCCAATTCCGTTATAGAAATCCTGGGATTCTGATTTCTGGTCTCGAGTCTTTAAATGAAGTCCTAAATATTATGTTTCTAACTTTCATTTTAGCTGATCAAATAATTTGTATTTGCAATGGAATTTGGGTACCTAATCTGACTCAGTAGTCAGTACACAATCATCATACAGTGTTTCTGAATATTGTGATTATGTAATTTTGTCTTGACAGTTCAGTAAAGCAATGTTATGAAATAAAAACTTTTGGGAATGCTATTTTCTAGATGAGTTGCTGGAGCTGCTGATATGTTTCTTGTCTTCTTGACAGTTCAACGATAAAACAAATAAAAGAAGTTGTCAATCGAAATGATTAGGAACAACGTCAAAAAGTCAGTAATTTATTTTTTAGTGCTTTACACAGTATATTTATATATTCTGGCTACCCTGAAGCGATTTAACCATTATTATAAGGTACGCAGCGAATCCAGACGATTCTATAGTGGCTAAACACTTCCATGGAACCCCAAATTGACCGTGCAAAATCTGATAGTTTAGATGTCGAATTCCGAAAAATTCTCGCTACAATCAGGGAGCAGATTCCTAGTATAAATTCAAATGCTTATTTGATGCAATGCAGACTATGGCTGGAGAAACTAAGTAATCCAGACTTGGAGAATCAAGAACTTAGAAATTTATATTTGGCGCAACTTTGTAAGCAAATTGGTGAAAACAAACTTTTGCCACCTTTTAATGAAGCACCTCCGAAAGGAAATTTGAAGAACTTTATTAAAAGTGACTTGCATTGTTCATCTGAAGAAGGTTCATCCTATAGCGTAGATGAAATTGGTAACAATATCCATTGGTTGAAAACTCATGAAAAACCATTCCTCCTCAACAATGAAACTACAATAAAAAATAAAAATATGTGTGGAGGTGAACCAGCAGGACCATTAATGGAAATTGAATCAAAGGAAACAATTATTACAGATGAAACTGATTCATGGTCCGATTTAAGTGATGAAAGCTTTGAACAAAAAGTTAAAAATGATGTTCAAAGTAAAGACATAAAGAAAATTACAAAAGATATTCAAAAAAACAATATCCATATGGGTTCTACTACAAATTTACTCAGTGATCCTAGTTTTCTTTCACAAGATTGGAAAAAGACAATTGCAGCTTTGCAATTACGCTTATCCGAAATGATTCATCAAAATGACGAATTGAATCGGATCATTCAAAAATTGGAAGTCGACTTGGAGCAAAGTAACGCCAAAATTAAGTCGCAAAGTCAGCATAACGTACAAATTTTGAAACACCTCCACAGTCAAGAGATTGAGCAATTGAAAAATGTGCAGACCGAAACAATTCTGCAACTGGAAGAAACATTGCAGGAAAATTATGTCAAATTAATGCAAGATTATGAAAAAAAAATTGATGATGTAACCAGTTCTTATGAATTCAAAATATCGGAAACTAAACAACAAAATGAAGATGCAATCAAAAACAAAGATAATGAAATCGAGAGGTTGTCAGAGATCATACAAAATCAGTGCTTGAGGTAAATTTCAAGCAAAATGATGTCTTTTAATAGAATTAATTTCCTTTTACAGAATTATGAATGATATTTCAAGCCTCAAAGACCAAGTATCAAATTGTAGCTGTGACAAAAAAGTAAATGTATTGAAAAAATGTGTATCCAAAATAGATAGGCTTTTTCAAAAATCCGAACAAGAATATGTTAAACAAATTCAACAATTAAAGCAAGAACTCGAATTGAAAGAAAGTAGTTTACAGGTAGGTAAATATATTTTTTACAAATCATACAAGTGGTTCTGTGGTTGAAGGTTTTTGAAATTTCTGGTTCCTCTGTTTTTTGGGTCTAAACTTTTTGTTAAGAGTGTCAACTACTGTAGAGTATTCTTTGGCCATTTGTTCATCAGATACATCCTTTTCTTTGCGTTTCTCTGCATCAAAGTACTTTTTATTGTAGTCGCTTTCCATCAATTTTTCAACTACACGGTTCATACCTCCAAAAGACAGTCTTCCTTCTACCAAGTTTTTGCAGTTGGAAATGCTAGCCTGTCGGAATATTATATCACCATCACTTTTCCGCATCTTATCACTGATCTGCTTGGAGTACATGGCTTGACCCTCGGCATCGTCTCGTTTTTTTAGTACTTGTTCTTTGGTTTTTTTCATAAATTTCATCTCCAGGAGATTCTTGGAGAGATCCACATCAAAATTCTCACCCATATTTTATTGGTAATTTCGTTGCAACACTTTATATTATTATTATTAAAAATTTATACAGTGAGATGAACAAATCACAAATATCTTGAAATTTGTGAATTTTATTTATAAATAAATATACAAATCTCTCCCTCAAATAAATTCAAAACAAATATCAACAAACAAAAGCATGAGAAGAAAAAGTTGGGTTAAGCTAATAGCGAATTCCTTGGGCAAAATAAGTGTCACACTAGTTCGACAACCACACTCCAGGTCAATTTAAAACTCCAATCGAGTTCACATTGGATTTTGGTAGTTTGTGACTGGATACTGAATTTATCCTGGAAGAACGTGAAACCTGGTGCTTAATCATTGTTTTTTTAAATTTATTTAGTTTGGCAACGATATTTAAATTTGCGAGGGGCGCGAAAATGTTATTGCATTAGGGACTCAATCAATCAAAATCAAAGCTGCAAGCAAAACTCGAAGCAAAATAATTGAAATATGCATGAAAACACATATTCAAAACTAACTTGCTGGCCGCTACGCCATATTGAATTTGGTCTCGTCCAATCAAAATTCGTATAACCATTTCTAGACTCAGTCAAAAGCACCTCCAAAAGTTACTTTACCTCGGCCGATTCTGAACGTGTAAAGCCAACCGTTTTTGGCACGCTGGAGCCGAACTTGAACGCAATATGCCAATTTTGGCTTGGCTTTAGCCGTTTTTGAACGCAGCCCATCGCCGGTAGAAGAGGAAAAGTAAGTTTTGGCATTAGCATTGCCGTCTTTGAACGCACTCCAGGGCTGGGATTATGACAAAGTGACAAGTAGATTTCTACTAGAATTCTTCTTTCATGACGTGAAGTTGCGTTTGCGTAGCAACCATCATCATCGCCTGTACTGTACGCGATTAATAGGTTGCGCGCGAGTGACGTCATGAAAGTTGGTTTTAACTCCAGGGTAGGTGTGTCTGAATGCAATGTTTACCAGCCGTTCTTTTTATTCGGGGCTTCAAGATAGATGGCTCCTATCCCAATTATATTTCACACGCAGATTTTGATCATTAATTACCGTTCTTTCAGAGCGTGCGCTGACGCGCCCAAGGGCATCGAATCCTGGGGTTTCAAAACTCTGAAAAGAAAGCATTTCAGGTTTGTTTATTTGTGTCGCACTAGCTTAAACTGAGCACAAAATATTTCAGATTTGTGACGTCACCAGTTTAACTAACGCTGTTCTGTTCATTGCCATTAGAGAGTTCTCGTGCTGTCCAAATTTGAAATACCGTAACGTAATTTGACAAGTATGACAGTTCTTACGGTATTAGCTTTAGGGCCAAATTATGGACTGACTGGTAAACGTCTGGTTGTTACCTAGCAGGTACTTTCTATGCACTAGAGAATAAAAAGTTCCTGCTAGGTAACAACCAGACACTTACCAGCTGGTCCATAATTTGGCCCTTAGCGGAGCCCGCTACCTAACGGTACTTAACGGATGCCTTACCGTAACGCTATGCTATGTCAAAATTTGTTAACGCTTCATTTACGTTTAAAAAAACAGCAACTTCCAATAATTCCTCCATAAAAACACCAAAGGAAAATTAATGAAACTCCGGAATTTTCAGGATAAATAAAAGTTGGTAAACAAGCAAAAAAAAGTTGGGTTATACCCGATTGCACCATCTCTCTCAAACTGAGGCTTAACGATAACTATCCCTTAAATTGACAGTTTTGCATGGGAAAATGTCACAAGGAATATAATAATCTCTAAGCCTCGGTTAAGAGAGACGGTGCAATCGGGCATTAGATCACTCAATTCAGCTGTCAAAATGTAAACAGAATAAGGGATTAGAGGATTTTTGTGTCTTTGTGTCCGAGAACTATGAAATACCATTTGAAATAGCGTATTGTTAGCGGTACCGTATTAGCGTAGCGTCTGAGGCACGAGAACTTTCTTCCAACACAAACGAACACCTCAAAGTGTAGGTGCTGCACCGAACAACACAAACAAACAAACCTGTGGAGTTATGTTTCACCCGCGAGGTTGACTTGCTATTGAGAACCGGCCGTTAATACATTTTGGCCGATCGAGCCGAGAGCGCACCACCGAATTCGGTTAAGTCAGTACCTGCCGTCGAGCAAATTTTAGAACAGATCGCGCCAAACTTTCAAACGAAGAGTGTCAAAAAATCTCCAACCGAATAAGCGAATAAACCCGAGATTGTAAAATCCCAATTCGACACACGAATCGACAACGAGACGCAACTCGATACCGACCCTGTCGTCTCGAAAGGTATTATTCTAATGAGATTCCAACCTAGAATCGTCAGAAAAATTCGCCTCGTTTTCGAGTCGTGATTCTAGAATTTCTGTCCAGTGAATATTAATGACGTCACTGGCGCATCCAAAACGTCAGTAGTATCAGTACTGAATCTATACTGAAAATAATATAGGAACGGTTTCCAGTAAATTCCGTACTGTGAGTTGATATCGGAACATAGCCCATTCCGGTCAATTTTTGAACGGACGATCGGGATCAACCGGTAAAAAGTCGTGAGTAAACTAACAAACCGGTATCGCACCGGTTCAAAAACCGGTGAATTTTGGAAAGTGCCCAAGCTGGTATGTCGATAAGCTACTCACTACCAAGGATTGCTTATCGGTCTCGTTTTTGGTAATCGCCGCCATATTGGTGTGTCACCATTTCTGACGTCATATCTAAGTCGTCAGCTGTTTACACTAGCGGTCGTAATTTAGAATTTCAATTTATGATGAAAAATATTATTTATTCTTGATTAACATAATAGTCAAAGAGGAATATGAAAACGAGATCTAACAAAGAATTGTTTTAGAATGTTAATTAATGTAGTAAAACCAAGTATTTATAAAGCAAAAGCCTTCGGAATCATAAGCTGTAGTGCAAACAGCCTACGTCAAGGCGAGAAAATACACGCTGTCTACGTCACAACTGGTGATTCGGCATGGTGGGGGGGCTTCAGATTTGTCCTACACAGGTTTTATGAGGATTGACTATTGTGTAGTAGTAGTGTGTATTATCCTTGTGTAAGTTAGACGATTAGTTGTATTCCTCTTAGGGTGGATTTTCATGCATCCGTTTGTCCGACGAAATATGTCCGAAAAATCTTCTATTTTGACATATTTTTATACGATTATGTCAGAATAGAATGTTTTTCGGACATCTTTCGACGGACAAACGGATGCATAAAAATCCACTCTTAAGCCTAGTACTCATAACTGCGAAATTCGCATTTTTTTGACATTGCGTTGACAATTTGACGTTTTATGCGTGTATCAAACATCAAAGAGCTTGGTGCCAGGATTATCCACATCCTCTAACTTACTTATCAGTTTTCCTATTATTATTATGAAACTATACATAATGGTTGAAGATATGATGCAAAATAGCACTCATTATTTATTTTTGTGATAAAATGCTTATCACAAACTCCTTGATTTGCCACTTTAGTTATGGAAGATTGTTCCGTTTAATTGCCGCTAACGGCGTCTTCTTCCTGAGAGTTAATTTAAAACGGAAATCATACTGAACTGATGGGGTCTGGATACGCTTAGGACCCTGTAGGTTTGAGACACATTGTCCCTCTCTCGGAGGCTTCCACATCCCACAACCACACTTATTCGGCATTTTACAACTCTAAAACTAAATACAAAAAAATTACCAGTTTCTGCCCGACTTAAATAGGTTAGGTACATGGTAGGCATATCCTTGCATGGTAGGTACAGTCGTGAGCATTAAAAGTGGGACACCGGACACCCGACTGACAGGCCTTGTCATTTTTCGCTATTTTGGATAAATCAGTCTTTTCTGTACAACGATTTTTTTCTCAAATACAATCTCTGTCATTGCCGACAGTGTAACTGGTAACTGGTGACCCTGTTTCACATTAGGAGAAATCGGGATTCGGGTGTCCCATTTTTAATGCTCACGACAGTACCTAGTCAACAACAAATATTTTATTAAATAATAAAAATGAAACTTAGTAGCAAAATAACTGAAATACGCATAAAAATCATATATTCAAAATGAGCTTGCTTGGCCGCCACGCCATATTGAATTTTGTGTTTGACGGATGGTTAATGGTCCGAATATAACCAAAAACCCTTTTCACGTGGCTCCGGTTTAACAAACCGCAACATACCGCTCAAATTCGAGTGGTAGGTATCCATCATGTCGCCGTTTAAAAAAATAGTCTAAATTTTTTTCTGTATGAAATAAAAAATAATTGACAGAAACGAAAGATAAATCCGATCGAACCGACATCCAATGACCGGTAACTATTTTGAGATTTGGTTAACCAGATTTCAGGAACCAGATAATTCGATAACTTTCGAACCGCAAAACAATAACCCTGGTTATATTCGGACCATAGCTCAGATTCGACCAGAGGTGGCCTCGTTTTTGGTAATCGCCGCCATATTGGTGTGTTACCATTTCCGAAGTCATAACTAAGTTGTCAGCTCTTCGAACAGCCTACGTCAAGGCAAGAAATAACACGCTGCCTACGTCACAACCGGTAATTTGGGGGGGGGAATTGTTACACACAGGCCTTATGACGTTAGGCCATCCTGTAGTAGTAGTAGTGTGTATCATCCTTGGGATTCTGTAACGGATGTTATCCCTATGGCTATGACACTTACTGTCTTCTTCTGTCCTTTTAAAATCAATAAAGAGGGTACATCAATAGCTCAATAGCACAAGTCACCCCTATCTAGGTCCGGATTTATAGTCGCTCTTTGAGGCTTCCTCGACCAAATATCAGTTCCGGCTCTAAGATGAATATTTCGATTCGGTTCGGACCAATAATTTTGGTTTTAACGGTTAATACCGGTATAGTTTTTGGTTTTTCACAAATATCCAACGGAAAAATGTATGTTTCTGTAATTTGTAGACACCAAAGGTGCTTGGACCACAGTTTGTTATGATTGCACTGGCTTTAGCTTTAGGAATCACAGACCACGTCAATCCATATGGCCGGTCAAGTTAAATATTGTGGTGACGTTCATAAGGAAAGCATTTGTGTTGCCTTTGATGTAGATTTGGTTTGACAGGTCAATGGATTGCCTAATTAACGTTCTAAAACAATCCTTGTTTAGATATCGTTAGCATCTTCTTCTTTGCCTATTATGTTATTCAAAATTAAATAATATTCTTTATCATAAATGTATAATGTATATTCTTAATATTCCTAACTACGACCGCTGGCGCAAACCGCTAACGAAACCGTTGATGACGTCGGCAAGGGTGCAACATCACATGAACTTGATTCCAAAAATCAAGGCCGATGAGCGCACCTATGCTGTAAGAGTGTGTATTATTCTTGGTGCAGCCTAGCCGAGTTCAGATATGCGCGCTTTTCCACGCGTCCGCAAAAAAAAACCTGTTTTGTTCCGGTTTTCGGGTCAATATCGTGCCGGCGGTCCGGGTCCCGGTACTGACTAGGCAAAATGTATTCTCATTTCTCATAAAGTTTGTGTAAATCTCAAGCCGCCACCAAGCCCAAGTACCAGTGATCACCTAGCCAGCGTGTCGTTTCTCGTCTTGATGTAGGGTGTTTGCACTACAAACTATGATTCCCCTGGCTTTGGCTTTTGCTTCATGCATATGTTGTTTTAAATACATTCATTAACATTCTTGAAACAACCCTTTTTAAAATGTTGTTTGCATCTGCCCCCTTCACTATTATATTATTTTAATCAAAATTAAATAATAGGTCTGGTCGCACACAAATCATAAACTAGTCAAAGTGAATTTTATTGGTTGAAACTAGTTTTCTGACTGTTTTCAACCAATGAAATTCGCTCTGACTGGTTCGTGATTTCTGGGCGAACAGAACTAATATTTTTGTGCAACCGTAGTTTTTCTGTAACTATGGGTACGTTCACCCACCAGTACTCGATCTTGGTATAGTTTGGCGCCAAAATATCAGACCAATTGGAATACTTTCGGATCATCGGATTGACGGAAAAACGGATGCATGGAAAGTAAGCTTTTAAGCAGTTGAACGCCCGACACTTCTGCGCATGTCATGACCGCGAAACTTTTTAGCGTCCTCGGGATTATCTTGCCCCGGCCGCAAACGGCCTCGACGATAATTTTTCTCTACGAACGCTAAAAAGGCATTTCGCGGCCTTGGTATACAAATAACTATTTCCATCATAAATGTATATTCTAAACTACGACCGCGTGCAAAAAGCTGACGACAGTCACCGTGGATGACGTTGACAACGGTCCAATACCATATTATGACCTTGATTCCAAAAATCGAGTCCGATGAGCAATCCTATAGTAGTGTGTAATATCCTTGCTACACACGCATTTTTGAACAGATCACTAATCAAAAATATCATGTCAAATTTCCAAATTGCACCGGTACCGAGCACGTGCGGAACTGATAGCACTCGGTGCAGAAAGTGCTGCTACAATAGGGAACTTGCAAGTGAACTAAAATTTTCCAAATTTGTTTTAAATCGATAGTTTATGCTGCACAATATTCATATGACCACTTTTTATTTAACTGATACCGCCCTTGTTACACAAAAAAATAATATTAAATTTGAAATAAAAATTTTCCCGCCAAAACAATGCTTTTATATTGGATACCTGTTTTGACGTCACGATTCTGTAAACAAACCCGTCAATAGGGAAATCTGTGATAGGGAACTTGCACGTTAAAAAAATACAAAAGCAGTCCTTCACAATATTCTCCATCCATTGCGGCAATTTTCATAAAAAGCAAACTTTAACACACTTGAATAACACAAAAATAGCACTGCGTCAGCAGGAGTTCGTTTGCTGCGTATTTGATGTTTACAAAATCTCAACGTCACAAGCGCTGTCAAATTGGGATTTCGTGTTTTCGCGCCAAAGTATTTGATTTGAATTTCAATAATTTTTTTTTCGTACAACGTATAAATTGAAATGGAAAAAAATAATAGTAGATTATACCACGAGTCAATAATGATAGCTATTGTTCCCGAGGATTATTACGAACTGAGCCGCGTTAGCGGCGAGGGAGTAACATTCCGAGGGAATAATAGCCATTATTGCGAGTAGTATACTCTACTTTATTTACGACAAATTAATTTATTCGAGATTTTCAATGAACAAATTTCATCCGTCTCATAATTTTCAATACAAATCCACAAGCACTACACGTTTGACACTGACACTTTCGTGGAATAATGACCATTAATCCCACTACTCGTCATTAATCCCTGGAGGAATAACATATGTCATTATACTGCCAAAATCACAAATATAATACGCACATTATACATTAGTCGTAAATAAAACTATGTAATAACTGATCACTAGAAGTATCTAAAAAAAAAAAATTTGAGAAATATGAAAATTCCCTATTCATTGCACGCTTTAAATCCTGAAGATGTAACTTTGCTCAGAATGCTCTTAAGAGTCAAGTGTTTCAACTAAAATAGACAATAAATGCCCCTCAAACATCTTCAAATCTTGTTCTTTTCTAGGTTCAATTAAAAATCCAAAAAGCTGAAGTCGTAGCTCAAACAAGAACCGGCCAAAAAGAAGAATTCGAGGAAATATTGAACACTTTGGAAATAAAATACATAAAAATGTTGGAGGCACACGAAGAACAAATTATGGAAACGAAAAAGAGAGACGATCAAAAAATCCAGTACTTGACGGGTCTGCTTCTTAGACATGGCATTATTTTTGATGAATAATATAGATTCATTTGTTGCATGATCATTTTTTTTATTAGTATTATTATCTTATCTACATATAAAACACAGTTGGGTTGGTTCTAACACTTATAACTCGAGAACGGCTGGACTGATTTTTATGATTTTTGCTTTATTGGATTCGTCTTTGTCCCTAATAACATAATAAATCGGAAAAATCCAAAAAAAAATCCAAAAAACAAAACTACTTATTTTACTTATTTATGAAAAAAATTCACTAAGTCCGCATATGGAGCCATCTCTTATAACCGATACCAAGTTTACCGCTACATTTTCATTGCAAACCATTTTGCATACGGCGCCATCTCTGATACCTAGAATGAAGCTCGCCGTTGCGCGGTAATTTCATTGTAGATACAGCAGAACAATGCTGCTCAGGAACTGGAGCTATTCCGAACAGAACTATTCCACTATTCCGATCAGATAGAGTGGTGCAGAAAGAGTAGATCAGATAGAATAGTGCATATAGAGTAGAAGAGATGGAGTAATGCAGTGCAGATAGAGTGAAACAGGGCTGCGCTGGAGATTTTTTTGTGTGTTCTTTACATTCTTTGAACATTCCTGTCCTGACTTTATTTGGTGGTACACTTTACAAGAATAATGCCCACAAGCTGCCTAAAAAAGGATGATGTAAAATTTAAATTTTAGCTGACTTCTGATCCAGAGAGTAAACATTAATTTTCTTCAACCAAAGCCAAATTGACCATCGAAAAAACTGAATTTAAATCAGCTAATAGATACGTACGTTAACACAACATTTAATAGGTATTTAATTATTCAGAGGCGGTACGAAGTTCGCCGGGTCAGCTAGTTATTTATAAATGGTAAAGCGCCGATCTGCCGTTCCAGGGTCTCTGCTCTACCTGCTCTAAAACAAAATTCGCAAATGAAAGCGCCTTATTTAGTACCGTTTCGACATGCTAGATGGACATATTTGAGTCAACGTCAACTATCATCTGTCAAAGCGAAAAGTGGAAGGAAAATAAAAGAGAAAATGGCGGAAGATAGATGATGTATTTGCAGTGTAGTGTTGTTATTAGATATTTTTTATTTTTGCGATGTCCAGTACACCGTCCGCCCGTCGAAATGGGGCCCAAAAGATCCGTTTAACAAGTAAGTAAACTAAAGTTCCATTTCTCAATCCGCTCGCTCTTAAAACGGAGAATTTGTTTAAAAAAATGCGATTTGTTTAACTGTCAGGCAATATGGCCTCAATTGGAAGGGACCTCCCAAGTATATTTAATTTGTGATGTAATACTAATTAAATCGTTTTTTCTAGTTCTTTGTGCAAGAAACTTGGTGCGGAAAGATCTATTTCGTAAGTAATCATACAAAAATTTGTAGTTGCTCTAAAAATACAGTGGTTTGATTTGTAGGGCTTCCAGATCCTTTCGCTAAAATATCTGTGGACGGAAGTGGTCAGTGCCACTCCACAGAGATGGTTAAAAATACATTGGACCCAAAATGGAATTCGCATTATGATTTATACATAGGTAAAAATGATACCATTTACATATCAGTTTGGAATCATAGGAAAGTGCACAAGCGACAAGGAAGTGGTTTCCTGGGATGCGTCAGGATTGTGAATTCGTTGATACAAAGATTGAAAGATACAGGATGTAAGTACACATTTTTGTTTTGGTGCTGGTAATGTGGTAATTTAAAAATCAGTGTGGATAATGTTACGGAACTTCCGGTCGAATATTTTTTTTTATTAACCCGGAATTTCCGAATTATTATTTTATTATCATTCGTCTGGAAAATAATACACCATGTACCCCTGCAATGACACAATCATTACTCCCCATCCCCCCAGGTGCCATTGTGCTGGCGCCGTGCCGCCAATTTCGAATTTTCTATTTTCTCCCGGAGGATCAAGCAGGTTCAATATCAGAAAAAGGATTCCGCCACGCATAATATTTTTATTTTTAACCATACTTATATGAAATGTTGTCATTACTGACTTTTCAAAAATTTGAAAATGTCACATTTCTGTCTTTTCATTTTCCTGCTCTATTACCTGTCCCAGGACGGGAATTTTTTTTTCTGAGATTGACAAGAAATGTCAGCATTTTTGACCGGTTGACAGGTCTCAAAACCCAATATTCTGGTATTTTAATATATATTATATATATATTAATCCTTTATTTAGCACCTGGCTAATTACAAAAATAAATGAACATACAAGTCAAATTAATTATTACATACTACATAATACACCTACTAAAATAAAATATCATGCAAGTAAATACAAATTACGATAGTGCAAAATACAGTATAAAATATAAAATAAAAATATATAGCAACAATTTAAAAAACTTCAATAGAATATAAAATTTAATAATATACATATATATGTCACTTGCGTCATTATCCTACATGTTCATTACATATTACATAATAAAAAACAAAAAAAAAAAAAAAATCCTAAGTTTAAAATGTGTATAGTAAACAACAAATATAATGATTTACAAACAACATGCAAGTCTTGAAAAACACAGAAATCAAAGATACACAAAATTCAACAAAAACAACAAAGATGAAACAAGTATTACTGTATTATTCTCCCATAAGATGAATCTTTAACTTTATTTTAAATAAATTAATATTTGGGGCGTCTTTATTTGTTGAGGCAAAGCATTAAAATAAATTAAACCCTTATGGTATAAACCATTTTCAGTTCCTTTTTTATTTTTTGTTGTAACATAAAAATTGTTACGATTCCTAGTAGGGTACGAATGTACAGAAGAATGACTTCTTAATTTTTCAGTCAAATATGTAGGTGTTAGCTCATTTTTCATTTTATAAATTAACAACATATTTTGGCTTATTTACCAAATTTTTCAACAGAAAGCCAATTTAGTTTTCCTAACATATTTTTTATAGGCGTTTCACGCCTTTCACGTAAAATAATTCTCATTGCCCTATTTTGCAATTTTTGCAACCTGTTCTGATCATTTTTGTTACACAGGTACAGGATGGAGGAACTAAAGATATAATGTGGTAAGATCAAAGTATTATAGATAGCAAGCCACTATTTTTAAAACATAAAATACTTACAGTATGCTGTATATTTATCATGGAAACTGCTTGCCTTATGCACAAAAAACATTATGATGAGTTAGAATATCCAAGAACTTATCCAACTAGGCAACTTCTTAAAATTCAGCTTCCTATACCCAAGACTGCATTGGCGCAAAATTCACTAATTTATAAAAGTAGGCAAATTTTTAATCATCTGCCTGTTAACTTAAGGCAGATAGGTGGTTTTAAAAAGTTTAGACTAGAGCTCAAAACATTTTTACATGGAAAAGCCTACTATCATATTAATGAATTTTTAAATGAAAAATTTTAATTTTGTTTGTTTCATTGTTTTGTTTTGTTCTGACCGCAACCTTTATGTTTTTTCTGTATTGGCTGTACCTTCTATATGACTCTATAGTTTGATGTAGTAAAAATTGTACATGTGTTGCTTAGGATTATGCTTTGACATTTATGTTTATGTTTATTTTTTATTTTATTGATTGTACCTCTTTTTGTTTTTTTATAACCCAATAATTTTTAATTACTTGCACATTATTTAAGATCATGCTTTGTCAATGAAATTTATTTTTCCGACAATAAAGTATATTTTGATTGATTGATTGATTGATTGATAGTAAGCTTAGTCCATTGTGACAAAAAAGATGTGAATCTAGACAGAAAATTTACACCTTTCGTAATTCTTTCGATTGTATACAAAATGTGATCCCTAAATGTAAGTGAGGAGTCAACAACAAATCCAAGATATTGATGTGTCTCTACTCTTTCAATAATATGACTACTGATTTTAACATGAAGATTATTTTGTGTAATTGATTCTTTATCTGTTCTACCACCTATTAACATAAATTTTGTTTTAGATAAGTTCAATTTAAGAGAATTAATATTGAACCATACTTGCAGGTGTTCCAAATCAATGTTCAAGGTCTCAACTAGGTCATTCATATCTTTAGACTTGAAATACAACAGTGTGTCATCTGCAAATAAAGGGACTGAACATTTTTTTATTGTTCTGTTTATATCATTAATATAAAGGATAAATAGCAGTGGTCCCAAAGTGCTACCCTGCGGAACGCCTACGTCATTTAAAATTTCGGTCGAAGTATGTCCATTGATTTTGGTTACCTGCAATCTTTTGTCCAAGTAGTTACAAAGCCACTCCAATGCTTTATCAGCTATACCATATCTCTCCAATTTGGCTATTAACATAGACCTATTCACTGTTTCAAAAGCACGTTTCAAATCAAGAAAAACAGCACCAATTGCATAATTTTCATCCAGAAGATTTTTCCACTCATGAAGAATGTGCTGAATTGCAGTTTCACAGCTATGCAATTTTCTAAACCCAGACTGATTTTCTATCAATACATTATTTGCTGTAATAAAACTTACTAGTTGACCATAGACCACTTTTTCCAGTAATTTCTCGATAGTTCCTAACATATTTACTGGTCTAAAGTCTTCAACTTTAATAGACCCTCTAACTTTTTGTATAGGAATAACAGTTGCCACCTTCAACAATGATGGAACCCTGCCAACCTCCAGTGAGCTATTAATAATATGTAATAAAGGATTTTTAATATTTTCAAAAGTGTTTTTTATAAAATCTAATGTTATATCGTCAGGGCTACCCTTATTTGGTAAGCTAAATAAAACCTTGTGAAGTTTTTCATGATCTATCATCTTGAACGAACTAAGGGTATCTTTAGGTTTATCAAATACATAATTTATTTCTGAATAAGTATTATCTATACTGTCAACTATGTGAAGCACACTTTTAACAAAATATTTATTCATCAAATCTGCCATTTCTTCTGAAGAAGTATAAGTTACCCCTTCTATATCTATTTTTTTCATTTTATTCCCTTTTTTGTCAGAAATTACTTCACTTAATGTCTGCCACATTGGATTATTCTTTACATTATTCTTTACATCATCAATTCTATTGTGATAAAATATTTTCTTTTCTTCCCTTATTACCATTAAAACCCTATTTCTACACTGTTTATAGATATTTTTGTTTTCCTCCGTTTTACTTATTTTATAATTTCTGTATCTATTATCTCGGTCCATAATTGCTTCTTTAACCCTTTCATTAAACCATTCTTTATAATAGTATTTTATCAGTTTCTGTTCTCTTGGTGCTATTTCATTTAGCACCTTTAAAAGTTGACTATAAAAGATGGTATATTTAATATCTATACTATTATTTACCCGATAATCCCAATCAATTACACTAAGAGAATTATTTATTCTAAAATAATCAATTTTACCTCTTGTATTTATTACATTATTCTGCCTTTTAACTTTATTTAAATTTAAATTCATTACAACTATAAAATGATCACTTATTCGTGGAGTTTCCTCTACAGTACAACTTAAAATCTCCTTCTTATTTGAGAAAACCATATCTATAATACTTCCACCCACCTCTGTAGAATGAGTAACTTTTTTAACTAACTGTTCCAATCCTACATCAAGAGCAATTTTTTTTAATCTTGTAGAATAAGTGTTGTTATTCAACCAATTAATATTGAAATCACCTACTATTATAACTGGATGACCAATATCAAGCAATTTATCGCAGATCTGTTCGAAAAACATCAAAAAATCAGCATGACTAGAACTAGGAGAATGATACAGATTTCCCAAAATATAAACCTTATTAAACAAACATATATGTATCTCTAGGAACCAGTAATTCCTTAGGTAGTTATACTTTTTAATTTGTAGAATACTGATTTGATCCTGTATAAATATCAATACAATATAATATAATTATGTTTCAATAGTTGCTAAGGAATCAATGAATAACAATACGAGAATCACTTTTCCAGCATAGGCCGGAAAAGTGATTCTCGTACTGCTGAACAATTGGAACAAAAATACAAAAGTGTAACAGATATTTAACCGATCTCAGAAAAAATAGTATGTGTATTTCGGTGGAAAAGCACATCCTCGGCCTTCGGTGTTACACCATCGGCCGAGAATGTGTAACTTTTCCACCTAAATACACAATATACTATTCTGTCCTCATTTCCCGTCCACTGACGGAAAATGGAGCAGGGAAATATTTCCCGTCCTCATTTTCCTCCTCATTTTCCGCCCTCATTTGGTTGCCCCGAATTTTTTTTTTTTTAAAGAAATTATAAATAATAAATAAAATAGAATAGTATACAACCCTCGACAGGAAACTTCTAAACTTCATTGCTGTCTCTATAAAACCTCTCGACCAGCAATGAAGCATTTCCCGTCTTGGATTGTAATATACTATTTCCAAACATTTCAAGTCGTGTAAAAAAAAAATTTGACATCTGTGACTGTCAAACCTCAACATTTCCCTTTTTATTTTTTTTCGGCCTTAAGAGGTACCGTAGCGAGGAGGGTAAAATTTACTTTTTGACGTATTTTTTGCTCCTCTATCCGATAGATTTTTTTTTTTTTGGAATTCTATATTTGTATTTTTTCAACGAAAAAATTCAAAGGGTATATAGGCTTCGTTTTTTTTTTTTTAATTTTCAAACCGTCCTAACTTGAAAACGAAAAGCTTCCCAAGTAACACAAAACATACATTAGATGTTTATTTTTTATCTAGATCATACATCTAGATACTGTATCGTTCGACGTCATATAGACGTCTACATGTCCGCCAGATAAACGTCTATGAATAATCTATGTCCTACTGAAAATCGATGTATTTTTTAAATCAGATTTAGACGTTATATAATACGTGTTTTTAGACGCATTATATTGAGTGTTTTTAGACGTCTTTTATATGTCTTTGTTAAATATACACTGTGGGCCAAATTAAGTTGGAACACAATTTGACCAATAATAACTTTTATGTCTGTTTATGGATTTTAATGATTTTTGGATATGATATTAGTCAATATGTTTTTGTTGCAACCTTAAAATTAATTTGACCAATTTTGGTCAGGTCCGGACTTACGACGATTTTATTAAATCGGTGTATTTAAGTTCGTTGCAAAAATGAACTGCACTATAGTGCAGTTTGTAAGTATTGAAGAAATTGATTGTGGATGAAGCCCCCTTCATTATCGACTACGGTCTGTAAGCGTCTTCTCCATTGGCTATGATCCGTTGACTGGCATTTGAATAAAATATTGACATTGATAAATAATTCAAAAATAAAAAATGCCTGACAGTTTTCAGTGACCGAAAAGGTGGGAGGTAGGGGTCAACTTGCAAGACAAAAAAACAACTTTCCACATTTTCTTTGCTCCGCTACGCGTCGTTCGGTCAAATGCAATCGCGTGCGGTAAAGTGACACTTTCCGAACTAGTTAGGAAATATACTATTGAATTAAACAGCTTAATGAAATGTCAAAAATTTGACAATTGTCTGATTCCAAAGCAATCTGGATTAAAGTAATGTAAAATTTCCTATTTGAATTACATATTAGTCAAAAAAATCATAGTTTCTCAGGTTTTGGTTCTAAAATATTTATATTTTCAGGATTTGTTTTCCCATAAATGTCCTTCTAAAAAATAATAATAGTTGGTTTGTAAGTAGTGCAGTTCATTTTTGCAACGAACTTAAATACACCGATTTAATAAAATCGTCGTAAGTCCGGACCTGACCAAAATTGGTCAAATTAATTTTAAGGTTGCAACAAAAACATATTGACTAATATCATATCCAAAAATCATTAAAATCCATAAACAGACATAAAAGTTATTATTGGTCAAATTATGTTCCAACTTAATTTGGCCCACAGTGTATATTTTAATTTTTTATAGATGTTTTTTAAACGTCCTTTATTTTTTTCATGCCTCTTTATGGGCATATTTTCTTCAAAAAAAAAAAATAACTATTATAAAAATGGAGAGCTGAAAGTAATTGTCAGTTTTAGTCGTGTTATTCAGGCTTTTTGTGATTCTGAGTTACTTAATTTTTTTTTGCAAGCATAATCTGTACGAACATGGATGTATACCTACTATAATTGGTCATAATAAAAAAACTATACCTACATTAATCGGGGATAGCTATATTACTAAAATTTTCATTACAAAATTATATTTATTAATTTAGTAACTTAATTGAGATGATTTGTATATGAAACAAATATATTTATATACGAATTATATTGTTTTTCTTTGTGCCGCCAATCTTAGCCAGTCCTTCATGGCTTGATTAATGACCTTATCATTCATATCCGAAGGTTTTCCATTTCCAGAAGAAAAGCAAAGCTCAGTGGCTTCTGAAAATTAAATAATCAGTTTTACTATCGACCCTATACTTACTTAATATTACCATAAATGACATCTTTTAACTTGGTGGCTTTGAAGGCTTTCTTATTCTGGCCTGCCCAGTTAAACTTCGTCGCTAATCTATTGGTGATTTTTATTAATTTTAACATGCCCATTACTGTGGTTCTCACGTTAAGGCCCCCAATACACGCTAGACGATTTTTCTAAAAAAATAAAAATAAAAATAAAAATAGATCTTACAGATAGGTACCCACATATCAACTTATCAAACTTATTCATTTAGGGCCAAATTATGGACCAATTGAAAAGTGTCAGGTTGTTACCTAGCAGGTACTTTCTATTCTCTAGAGCATGGAAAGTTCCTGCTAGGTAATAACCTGACACTTATCAGTCGGTTCATAATTTGGCCCTTAGAAAGGTTAGTAGTTTGCTTACCAAATAAGTGTGCATTGGCTCATCCAATAGAAGTTCTTCCAGTTTTTGGAAATCTGCTTTCCTGTCCACAGGCAGTATCGGAAACTCTTCTGGTTTTGACACGTGCTTTAGTTTACTTTCATTCAGAAATTTCCACATCTGGTCGATTTTAAGAGTGTTCTGATCTTGTACTTCAGTAAGTTTCTGCAAATGCTGAATAACAGTTGCCTCGAAACCTTTTTTTGGAGTTGTGGAGGAAGATGATGTACTTGGAACACAACTTTGGGTAGCAATTTTGTCATTATTAGGTTTTGAAAATCTGCTTTGTGAAAAATTCAGGGTATTATTCTGGGGAAGAATGACATTTTGCAAAACCCGTATTTTTTTTTTAGGCTCCGTTGCAACATTTGAATTTGTCCTAAAATTCAATAAATTGTGTTATTATTTTTCCTTTTCCTATATTTATAAGAATTTGCTATACATGCATCCTAACGATTGGGAATCTGAATTAATATTTTCATTGCTTCAAATAGATTCAATATGGTTATATTATTAAATTTAATTTTAGTTCTTGATCTAAGCAATTAGGTTTTGAAGAATTCCCATGTCTCTCAGAATTTGTATTATAATAATAATAATGTTTTTTATGTATGAATTTTTTGTATCTTGTCATTCAGATGCCCTACCATCTTACTCATAGTTAAAGGTTTTAGTAAATTTAAAGACTTACTCCTTGACCCTCGCGTTCTTTGAAGATTCCGCCTTTGAAGGAAAATTATTCCAACTTTCATCTTCAGATGCAGCGAAAGTTGTTTTGAGTTTTTCAGTTACTTTGATAGTGCTGGGTGTATTGTATCCTTTATGCGATTTTTCATCATCATCACTACTGGAAGAATTGGGCCACACGTTATTTTCTCTGCAGACAATTTTTTTCTTTTTGGCTTTCAAGACTGTTTTTTTTCCTCTTGATGCACTACAAGTTTATGAGGGAGATTTGATATTAATAATTAAAATTTTGTAAGTACAATATTAAATTATTACCTGGATTTACTAGAATCTACTTTTAAAGTTTTCTTTCTTTTTGCCAAAGGTAAGTCCTCGGAAGAGTCAGAGGAGTTTTTGGATGGAACATCATCTTCATCCATCAATTCATTTATATTTGGATCACTTTTACTGGATAAAAAAATATATATGTAAGTTTAAATATTGTTTAATATTTTTGCTGTTATTATATATTAATTAATTTTTTTAGGTATATACCTATTATGAAATTCAGAACCCCTTTCCGTCATGTCATCACTTGAATTCCCTGAATTCCTATTCATTATTTCTCTTCGAACTAAAGAAGACGTCAGACAATTCACTGATTCGGAATTAGTAGATTCTTCAATAATTTGTGATAGTCTTCTTTCACAATTTTCAATTCCCTCTAAAACATATATAGAGATTTTATTGACTAAAATTTTATTCCAGAATGGACTTCAGAACTAGAGTTATCTAAATTATAACTATATTAATAAAATTTAGAACTTAGAACTACTCTAACTACACAGAATAAGCAACTTCATCATGGAAGGTGCAATAAAACGTTATGCAAACCTAAGCCTGCTATATTCAAATATATTATTATGTAGGGTACACAAACCTAAAGTATCATGAATTTTGATAATCATATGCTGGGACCAATCTTCCTTGGGTGGAGCATATTCAGAAACCAACCTTGGAATATTAGCTTTAGGCCAGAAGCAATTATTTCCACATATCCACGTCATTGGAACAATCGCACAATCTTTTTTCTCAAATTCAACAATGGCATATGTTTGCGCCATTATTATTGCTTAATCTTCTGCGTCTATGAGGATTGGATATAAACGGGAAGCTTATAGATTGAGGAAAAGTCTCACTTAAAATACCAATTTTAAAACGCCGTTATTTCAAGTAATATTCGGTAATAACAATTAAAAATTTAATCAATGTAGGTACATACTATAATTATATGGGTACTTAATTTGAACTTTCGTTTTATTGAAATAATTTTTTGACAACCATGCGTAACTATATATTATTATATACCCAAAGTAGGTTCTTAGATAATTTTATAGTCAATCCATAAAATATTACTTTACGTACCTACCGACGTCTTGAGACATAAGCCACTACTAAAAATTGTGTACTACTCCCAAATAATTCCAGATTTAGGTTTTAGAAGAAAGTATTTGCGAGTAATTTGTTGAAACGCTGAGAATATATTTTGAACAATAAAATGTACTCTATTTACCTATCCAATGAACCAATTACATATTATACAATTAACTCCTAATTTAAATTTATAGTAGGTAAGCAAAATTTATTTTTTGATACTCCTATGCTATAACACAATAAATATATTCTCAGCACTTCCACTCTCCAGTCTCGGCTTGGCCCTGAATTAAAATATACAGGGTGGGACACGAAAAACTTCCCACCCAGATTTTTTCAGGTGTTAGGTGATTAATCAAAAACCGCTCGGACACGTCAACTTTTGTTTTTGGGGGACACATTTCATTAGTACTTTCACCCCCTATCTGTCAACCCCTAAGTGGGGGTGACAGGTACACCCAAAATTTCAAATGAAAAGGGAGGTCGAGTGATAGGTCATTTGATAGCTATTTTTATTAAGATTATATCCACAGAAGTTTTAAGCTGCTACTATTTACCCTGCCGAAATGGTGGCTTGTCAAAGTTAGGAAAAATGTATGCTTCAACTGATACAGTGATTCTATCTTGAATTGAATCAACATGAACCATTTCAAGCTGAACTGTTGAATAACAATACTTAAATTAAATAACAATGTTATTTTGTTACTATGGATAACAAAATATGCTGTTTCGTTATTATGAGGTGAAAACCACACAGTCTAGGTATTCGAAAAAATGCATTTTTCCCAACTTTGACAAGCGCCATTTCGGCAGGGTAAATAGTAGCAACTTAAAACTTTGGGGATTTAATCTTAATAGAAATAGCTATCAAAAATGACGTCTCAGTCGACCTCCCTTTCCATTTGAAATTTTGGGGGTACCTGTCACCCCCACTTAGGGGTTGATAAGTAGGGGTTGAAAATATACCAATAAAATGCGTCCCCTAAAAAACAAAAACTTACGTGTCTGAGCGATTTTTGATTAATCACCTAACACCTGAGAAAACCTGGGTGGGAAGTTTTTCGTGCCCCACCCTGTATAATCTAATCCATCTTAAACTGCCTTATAAGGCTTTAGTACATGGGAGCACAAGTTGTGTGTAAAATTGGGAAAATAATGAAACCGTCTTTATATGCTGTTGCTATACATTTGAACATTATGCTACTTATAGTAAAATTTTCCACTTTTCCTGTTCCTCTGACAAAATATATGTTCAATTTTGAGGATTCTATGGGTTTTTCATAAAAATTGTACATATATTTAAAAGGTACGCCTGAGCACCAGTAAACGCTATTTAAAAAATAAATTGATTTTATTGTAAATATTTTTTTGCGAACTGCAACTATATTATTAGGTTTTTTTAAAGATAAAACAAATCTGTCATTATAATATTTTATGCACTGAAAATAACCGTTTTCTTCCGAAAATACCCCTTTCACATGCTCTTTTATTTTCTTGGAATGATTATTTGAAACATCACTGTTGTTCATTTCACATATTCTATTATAAATTTGTTGCAGAGGGCGATGCTTTCCTCTAACTCTCCTTTTCAGTTTTCCCAAATAATTCTCATAATCGAAGCAGCTGTAATTTTCTATATTACCATATTTTCTGGCGTCCTCACATGCATGAATCAATGAATGTACATTGTACACCACAAAGAATTTTCCGTATATTTCTGCTGATTTATAAACAAAATGAGCTAGAGCTGATTCTGCAATGTCAAGATAATTTTCAAGAAAATAGTCATTCGATAATATAAAGACAGCAGCATGATAATATAAAAAATGTTCATAAATCGCTTTGCTCACATTATTTTTCAATAGGATAGGTCCATAATACAACAGGAACATTCTAAATTCTACAGCTTTCCACCTCTTAACGTCTTGCAGAGTTCGTAAGGTTCTACTGAATTCCTCAGGGAACTTCAATTGTTTTATTTGGCAGTTAATGTTGCCTGTGGCAGTTTTGGATAGTCTAATACGTCTTTTTCCTTCAACTAAATATTTTACGAGCAATCGTTTTGTCACGCCAAGATACAATAAGTGCATCGGATCCAATACAAATTGACTAACTAAACCCAAATTTAACTTTATTAATGGGGATAAACCTTTAATATGATCACATTTTTGGGGTCTATTTTTGTCAATTTTTTTAAGCTCTGGTTTTTCAAAATCAGAATCTTTTCTTTTTGTACTGGTAATATCATTCACGTCGTAAAATCTTTTATTTTCTATGTATAATGAACTTTGAGTACATCTCTCACAACCTAATTTACTTGTGTGCCCCTTAATATTTTTCAAATAAGACCTGGCTGGTGCATCACAAGTAAAAAGAGAAATATTGAACTGGTACAAAATGTTATTGTACTTGAATCCAGAGTCTCTTAATTGGTTTGACTCTTCAATAAAATCTAACAAAAATGATTCTATTGGTGTAGGCTTGCCTTTGCCACAAAATACAGCCACAACAAATGGGGCCTTATCGTTTTTAATTTTGGCTAAAATAGGCCAAAATTCAATAGTGCTATTATTATATAGCGGTATCCCATCAATATTTATTTGTATTGAAATTAACGTGTGTTCAATAATTTTTGAATCAATTTTTTTTCTTAAACCAGCTTCGATACCAAAATATATTAGCTCGCCATTTTCTAAAATCGTCGTCTCAACTTTTCTTGGTGTTCCTAAAATTGAACGTATATCTTTTTTTAAAAACGGGTACTTCGGCCTTATTAGAGAAATTATTTCATTGCAACATTTATGAGGCACGTTATTCTGACAAGCCCATTTCTTAAAACTACTAACAAACGCTTCTTCTTCTATTTTTTGGGAGATTTGTTGACTATTTAATTTTAACCTGTCTTCATTTTCTTTTGAATTTTTTTCATCAAAATATTTGTTGTCAGTAAAAGTATTTTGATTATTGGGCACATAATAATATTCATCATTTACGTCACGGTCATCAGTTTCATTATCGTC